TATAAAAAAAAAAAAAAGAAAAAAGAAAAAAAAAATTTTCATACTATCAATGGCCTGCACGACACGGATCCCTCTGGTGGCTAGTATCGGTACTGCGACAAAATTTGAACTTTTTTTACAATGCGTTGAGGTAGGCCTTCGGCCCACCTGTCTATTCTTACACCATGCTCTCACCTCATGAGCTTCAACGGTTACGCGGTACGCGTTATGTGCTCTCCATCATGATGTAAGTAAATAAGGTGTGTGACCTAACCGCTTCAAATACTGTTCCTGCGCACATCCGTAATTTCGCCATGTTGGAATTGTGTAGTCTGCTTTGTTTACTTTAAGATATACATGCACTCATGACACTTACTTGAGAACTTGAGTGGTGTAATAAATTAATATTTACAATATGCCATCGTGGTCACTTATATATAAATATTTTTACACGAATGAATAAACAGTCTAACATTTTTCTATCGTATGTACGGTATGCTCTGTACATTTCACTCAAGATAGTTACAAGACAAAGGCAGAACACTAAATCGTCCCTGGTGATATAAATATATTCGTTTTATCCAAATCAGCTGTTCCAACAATAAAATTAGATTCCATATACGGACAGGAGACGCTGTATTTTTTTACAGGATTTTTATTTATCTAGGAAATAATTTAATCTCACGTAGTAATCTCAGATGTGCAACTAAAAAAAAAGTACAGCGTGAAGCCTCACTGAATACAGCAGCCTTTAAAACATTGACAGCTCTGTGATTTTTTAACTTGGTCACTGCTTTAAATAAATAATTATGAATTAATAACACAAGTGCCTATCACCTGATGACCTAAAGAGCTTACTGGCCTTTCTATTAGATAAATAATTATTACTATTAATACAAGTACCTATCAACCGATTACCCGGGGCATCTATTGGACACATTATTTCATAATAAAATGTTAATTGATGCCATATATCTGCAATTCAGTGTTTTTCTTCATTGTCCAATACGATAAACATCTTTGGTAATTGGCGCTCTTGTTGTTAATAAACATTTTGTAATTTAGTCCTGGCCAGTAAGCGCCCCGGGTCATTGGGTGATAGGCTCTTGTGTTGTTAGTTAAAGATTATTTACTTAGTAGAGTGGGCAGTAAGGACCCTAATTCATCGGGAGATAGGCGCTTAGGTTATAAGTTAATAATTATTTGTTTAATAGGGTGGCCAGTAAGTTCCCCAGGTTATCTGGTGATAGGCGCTTGTGTTGCCTTTTGTCAAACAGTGCGTTTGAAACGTTTTGAACGCGATAAAACTTTTATACAAGATCTATTACCATCTCTGCTGTACTCCCACGATCCCACTCCATGAGTGTGCGAGAGAGAAAGACTCACTGCCCCAGCTGCTAATAAGCGGTATATTCTTTATGTGTCTATGCCATTGCGTATGTTGCATACATCATAGACATACAAAAATAGACTGCTAGTTCTTATGTACGGCACTAAAGCACAAGTAGAAAGAGACACAATATCGAACGTGTAAATCCGTCTCTCTCGAACGTAGCCAACGGTGGAGGAGGTAGCATAAGCTGGCCTTACTGCACTTCCCCCCGCCGTTTATAAATA